CAGAAAGCCAGAGAAGAGAAGGGGCAAGGGAGAGAGAGCGCCAGGGAAGAACCACGCAGGGGAGGGAGTGGCAGAGGGTCCAGTGTTGTGTGTGAGCATTCTGGGGTTGGTGTGGGTACCCTGGGGTTGACGTGGGCACCCTGGGGTTGATGTGGGCACTCTGGGGTTGACCTGGGAACCATGGGGTCATGTGGTTGATGTGGGCACCCTGGGATCGATGTGGGCATCCTGGGGTTGGCGTGGGCAACCTGAGGTTGGTGTGGGCATCCCTGGGTTGATGTGGGCATCCTGGGGTTGGTATGGTCATCCTTGGGTTGATGTGGCCATCCTGGGGTTGCTGTGGGCACCCTGGGGTCGGCGTGGGCGTCCCTGGGTTGATGTGGGCATCCTGGGTTGGCGTGGGCATCCTGTGGTTGGTGTGTGCATCCTGGGGTCAATGTGGGCATCCCGGGGTCGGTGTGGGCATCCTGCAGTCAGCATGGCATCCTGGGGTTGTTTGTAAGTATCTTTGGGTTGGCATGAGCTAGACCAGAGCTGCTGTGCCAGCCAGGCTAGTCCAGGGTCAGCAGCACTAGGATCATTTTCTCCTGACTTTGGCCTTCTCAGTCATCCCTCACTGGCCAGCTCTTTCCTTAGTCTTGGGGCCTACAGTCAGGGAAGAGGCAGTGCCTAGCAGGTTTGGGGTGGGATTGATGATTTCAGGGGCTCAGGGTGGGCGCCCAGCTCTCCTGCTTGCTGGTGGGTGCCCAAAATACATCCCTCCTATCTTTCATTTCTTTTTTCCTTCTCTCCCCTTTTTTTTTTCATCTCTCCCTCCTCCTCACATCCTTTGGAGATGGCTCTTGTCCAGGTCCTTGGGGGGTGGGAGCGAGGTCCCTCCTTGAGGGCTGAGTGTGAAGGGAGCCCATGGGTGCCCCGTGGGGCAGGTGGGACGTGAAGGTGGAGTGTGTGAGCTGGCCCTCAGCATTCAGCATCCCTCCCCACAGGTTCCTAGGAGGCGAGTGCGGACGGTATGCAAAGTTGTGAATCCAGTGGCGACAGTGCGGATGACCCTCTCAGTCGTGGCCTGCGGAGAAAGGGACAGCCTCGCGTGGTGGTGATCGGCGCCGGCTTGGCTGGCCTGGCTGCAACCAAAGCGCTTCTGGAGCAGGGCTTCACGGATGTCACTGTACTTGAGGCTTCCAGCCGCGTCGGAGGCCGTGTGCAGAGCGTGAAACTCGGTAAGTGCCACCCACCCTGTCCCAGCCA